TTTAAAATATCATGGTTAACCATGCATCGATTTGGATGACCTTGCTAGCGACTCAGAACCTGCTTCTTTTCACCGCCACCAATTCTAAGGTATTGAGCATATGCCGTCAATCCGATTGGGAGTACAGGCTGGGGCTAAAGTTTTGCAGCGCGCTTTTACTGAATTCGACATAGGTGTGATAGTATAAGTGAATCTTGGTTGTTCACGTCAGGCCGAGAAATCACCCAAAAAGCCAACCAACACCTTGGCCTATTGCGGAAGGCTTTCAGACGTTTCGACCTTTAAATCTTCTAGATGCTCAGTGCCTACATTACTACCACTTCAGAATAAGCCATTCACACTCGGCAGCGCCAGCACAAGCACGACCTCATCGCACTTGAAATGCCACAACGAAGGGTGACCAAAAATCTAAATGGTCTGTTCCATCTCCCTTACCAACTGAGGGTGAAAACCCTTTGCGTCTATAGTGGACAATATAGAAACCCAGCGGTTTCCGTCAACACTGCTCATGCACAACCAACTTACTGCTTGTATGCAGTAGTTGGACGGAAGCTATCGACAAAAGTCGAGGGACCGACATCATTTACCTCGATTTCTCCATATCTTTCGACCGCCTCGACCACTACATTCTGCTTCACAGACTTGAAAGCTAAGGAGTTGGGGTCCCTGACCTTGAGTGGATCAATAAATTCCGGCAGGATCTCATGCAGCAATTTCCCTTCAGAAATTTCAAGAGAGCAAGAATGAACAGCATTTCTGCGGGATAATCTGAATTCAGATTATTTCGTGTCTTCTCGTTCAGCCGCTTACAGACAAATCGTGGAAAGAGTAAATGAATGCAATTGAAAAAGGGGGTCAATAGGAATATCAATAAAACACTGAGCAAACCAAGGTCATTGCCTGCGTCTTACCAGGGCAAGGCAAGACTGGCCACAAAGTCTATCTGTTTGCAAAGGTTCGGTTTCATTCGTCTGATGGTCGAGGCTTCAGCGAAACGAAGCAAGCTCGCGTTGTTTTGTCTGCTGATAACTTTGAATGCGTCACGTGGGTTTTCGCACAAGATACCATCGAGCATATGCTGAGCGATGGAGCTGGCAGGGAGTTTAGGTCCACTATTTGCCAGGTTCCGTGGAACATGTTCCATGATCCTAGTTGATAGCCTTCTCTCGGTTCGGCCAATGTACATGCTACCGCAAGTACAGGTGAATTGGTAAACACATGAGGCGGTAACCTGAGCGTGAGGCCTATCCAAGTTGGATTCATGGAACAGCTCCTTGGTTTGATGTAACAACACTAGCTCAGCTGCGTAGTAGCACCTTTTTATGGCTTGGCGTAATCGGTAGCACAATCTTCTGTCGTTCTGTTCCCCTTTGTATGGTAGCGTGATGAAGACCTTTTTCTTGGGGACATCCACTCGTGTCTCTTTCTTAGCAACCTCATTCCCATACCTGGCGATGAATTTATTAGGATAGCCATTATTGCGTAGGTTAGATTCGATGTATCTTAATTCAGCCTCGATTGATTCTTCAGAGCATATTCGGTGTGCTCTGACAAAACAAGTTCGAACTAAGGATCGCTTTTAGTTCATTGGACAGTAACTGTTGAAATGTAGGTATTGTCCTGTCCGGCTCGGTTTCCGGTAAATCGATCTTATCAGTGAACCATCTGCTCTTCTTTTAAGTGAAACGTCAAGAAAATGAAATGAATCCTCTGATTCACTTTCCATAGTGAACTTGATGTTAGGATGACATTTGTTTAACGTTTCCAAAAGGACTTTCGCTTGTTGGACAGTGTCAACTACAACAAAGGTATCGTCAATATACCTCGTGTAAAAGTGTGTTGCTCCAATGACATCGCGTAATAAGTTACTTTCCAAATGACCCATAAAGATGTCCGCTAGAATCGGTCCGAGAGGGCTACCCATCGCCACGCCTTCAACTTGACGATACATATCCCCATTAAAGCAAAATTGTACGTCTTTCATACAAATGTTGAGTAAGCTCTTCAATCGATGTGCAGGCAGGCCAACTTTGTCCGCATGCTACTTATGATGTTCAACGTCTCATCCAAAGGAACGTTCGTGAAAAGGGAACAGACATCAAATGATATCATGTGCTTATCTTGAACATTCAAGGGTCGAACTTTGTCAACGAACTCAAAAGTGTCTTTTAAACTGTGCACCGATCGGATTCATATAAAATGTAGAGTTTCACAAGGATCATTTTTGGGCACACGTCTTTTGTTCATGCTTATTAATTAGCTTACGCGTCTGATCGTCTCGGATTTCTTGCTTTTCGTTGATGGTGTTAAGACGTTAGCGGGCGACCGCCGACCAAGAAAACCACGATGCAATTCAGCGAGACTTGGACAGGGCGTATGAGTGGTCACTCCACTATCTGCTCTAGTTTAATTCGTCAAGGTGTACTGTCATCCACATTCATCACCAGCCAAACAACGTATACAACCTTGGGGGCTGTAAACTGCAAACGGTTACCTAAGAGCGCAACCTTGGGTTATGAATTCAGGCTGATCTTGGTTGCTCAAAACAATCTGAGAAGGCGTGTAAGACTGGAAACCAACACGTTGGTATGCTGCGGAGAGCATTCTGGCAGTTTGATCCATCTGTCTATCTGCAATTGCTTAACACATACGTGCGGCCTCATGTGGAATACACAACCGAGACCTGCCAACCTTGGCACAAGCAAGATCTTGCAGCGCTCGATATTGCACAGCACAGAGCCACCAAACACGTCAAAGGGTTGTTTGATCTTCCATATCAACTTAGGCTGAGGACTATAAGATAATGCAGCGTTCATTATCGACGCCCACATGTCGACCTAATAATTACCTGCCAGATTTTGAGGAGACTCAACCACGTCTGCCGCCACATAGTGCAACTCAGGCACAACACGAATTGGGGTGGGGGGGACCACGCAATACAGTTGGCTATAATATCGGTGAAACATTTACTCTCTCTCTCTCTATCTGACTGTCAGCCATTAAACACCCTCCCAACTTAGGTTGTTTACGCCCCCACTATCTGTATTTATAAGCACCTTGACGTTGGTTCAATCTACTTAGATTACAGGATACGGCCTGTGTACATGAGCAGACGACATACTGTGACGAACGTTGCACAACCGGAATTAACCTATACAATTGGAGAATAGTTCCGAATTCCCTATTCTACGATAACTTCATCCCGCTCAATGATCTCCTGGCTGTGATTCCATCTACTATTTACCCACACGCAGCCTTTGAAGATTTGAAACAATGCGCACGTGTTTCAGGACCGTATTAAGTTACACACCTACGACAACGGCCAACCGCAGGTGGGAGTTAGCGAGTTTGCACCAATTTGACCAGGGGATGCTTGGCTTGAGGCGGGCAGTAGCAAACCATTGAGAACCGGAAGGTACCCTCTCACCGCCTGCGATAATACATGGCGCTCTTGCTGTAAGTCATTCGAGCTGTGAGGTTATAACCCGTTTACCTGTTGTCCCCCATGGCTACGTTTTAAAGGAAGAGGGCCATCAGCCTCACCTTAACCTCCCAAGAGAATTGGATTGTGAGACTGAGTTAGTCTGACCCCTGACCATTGATCTGTCTGATATGAGTGGCTCTGAAGGCACTTGGAAAGTGCCACCCAGCATAGCTCAGTAGGTCACAGGGGTACGCAAACCATCGCACCCAGCTAAGGTCCAGTCTCGTTACGCGACCATTTACCCAACTCTTTTCCTTGTCCCAAACCCCTTTGCTTCTTTGATTCAATGCATATTATGTTTCTAGGTTAAATTAACTACGTGTTTATTTAGAAGTTTAAGAATGTGGCTGACCTACATCCAATCGCACGCGTTCGATCCACTTTTCTAACTTCAGAACAAACTCCACCATCGCTTCACATAGTAACCGTCGCAGAACTCGATCCTTCAGGGACAAAGGGTTTATTCGACAAAGCAGGCTTAGCGAAAATGACAGCATGGGTCAGTGCTATAACTGACGACTTTGTTGCATTCGTGATTCTTCCTTTGAATCAGTCAAATAAGCCCACTCCAGCGCTGCTAAATACGAACCAATCAGGGCGCAGCTGGAAATGCGTCGGCGTCCAATCATCTGCTTCGTTCGTTCGCTTGCTTCGTTATGTAAATCCGTACCGTTCTGCTTGCATAATCCCATCACAGTAACGTCGAATGTGTTATCGACACACTAGAATGTTTCATTATTTATCCCTTGTGCTCGCACTGCGTGAGTGACCTGACAATATTTACACTGGTAATGTGGATGTAGGTCACACATTGAAACCATTTGGTTCGTGCTGACTATTGTTTTGTTCCTTTGCCGTCACTGTGTGTAATGCACAGGTTCTCACAATCATAGCTCATGGGGACCTTTTTCTGACTGGTCCTGTTTAAACCCGTTTTAAGTCATAGTGCACTGAGACGTTCTTTCCCAGGTGTGCCTTGGAGCCATATTTGCTGGCTATTTTTGACTGTTGCCGTTGTTGACACGCTTGTGCCGGAAACACAGCTAATTGAGATATTGTACGTTTGTTGTTTTTAATTGTTTGTAAATAGAACCATATTCCAGTACCAACTTTGTTCTTGTTGATTCCGGTGGAAACAAGTTTGCTCAAATGTTCCAAGTGATTTGTCACCTACGACAATGGAGGTTAGTTCTTCTCTACATGTGTTGTGTGAAGAATATGGTGACTCAACCAAAACGCTTTTCATTTTTTTCCATCGTTTTGTCGTTCTCGCTCTGGCTATTCTACTGGACTTGTTAAGCACCCGCTGTTTATCCGTATACTCCATTGTTCCCAGTGAATACACGCACAGGCTTTAACCACTGTTTCAAGGCTAATTCGGGTTGAAATGAACACATGACATCTACATACGGATATATATATATATATATATATATATATATATATATATATGTATATATATATATATTGGTTCCATCGGTGTTATCATACGACACAGGAAGTACGTATCTCTTACCCTGCTTGCACGCTCCGTGAGCCGCTTTATTTCGTTTTTGGATGTCTGCAGCTTTTCTTCTAATTCTTGATTTTCCGTTTGAAGCTGCTTCAGCTTATCTGCATCGGTGTCCCCGTTTGTCATAGTTTGGCATCGTTGGTTGGCCTAAGCGAGAAAGAGACGCAACTTATGCATGACGATAGGTGTTTTCTCAGTTCAAAAAGCAAGCAATTTGATGTAATATATCATATAATACATTTGGGTTGAATTAGCAATTTGAAGGGGAATCTAAAGGGGGAGGAGATGAACGACGAAACTCGCAATACATACGCCATTGGTGCCGGCTCTACGTCATAACAGCAAGTGCAACCAACCAAACGTGTCCACCGGCCTTGGAACCCCAGCTAGGCAGTTGGGATGCACAAACCGACGCCAACTTCGTACTGAGGGTTTTCATTCGCCTCCACCAAGTTATCGCTTGACTTCTCCTCCTCTTCTATCCAAACCCAGGATGCCCAAATAGGGAACGACGCGGGAGTCGGTATGCTGCCATGCGCAACACGTGGCCAAGCCATTGGAACCTGGTGCGATGGTTTGTGTGCTTTAATTATCCATTGAGCTATGCTTGATGGTGTTTTTTGCACCTTCGGAGCCACTCATACCGGATCGGCCAATGGTCAGGGACAGGATAAACTCAGTCTTCTGGTCCTCCTGGTTGGAGTTTGGAGCGAAGATGGCTCCTTAATCCATAAAACGGACTGTCCGTCGCCCATTACCAAAACCCTGCTGACCTGCGTCCAGGTTTTTGAACCTGTGGCTTTCCTTGAGTACCCTAGTCGTTCTCCTGTATAGGCCTGGGCAACGTGACAGTATCCTGCTCACGCAACACAACCCTACTCTTATATATCTCAATTCGGTGAGCTCCGGTCACTAGTTGAGGCGGCCTGTCCCTGTTTCGTTTTTCATTGCAGCATCTAGCCTACGAAACGCAACATACCCGACGCTTTTTCTTTGTTAGATACCACTTGTCTCAGCCTTGTTAACTAACTGCAGTTATCACCGCATTCACTGGGATCCTCAACGTCACAGCTTTTGTTGTACTAGTTGCGCCACATGGGAATCATTGGTTAAAAAGCGCCGGAGAAGTATGCAACTCTACGTGATTCCATTCACGCATCATCAATGTATCAGTACACTCCCTCCAAGTTCAGGTTTATTTGGGACCGGAATGGCAAGACAATCTCGTGAGTTATTGTGAATACCTGTGGCTAAGGATGTGGATGAGAGTTTTGTCCTGTTCTGCGAGCTAGCAATTTCTGTCACAGCTAACTAGGCAACATCCTCAGTTCCAGCTGGGGATACTTGCGATACTTGGAAGGGCAAGGAACCGCACGGCGCATGAGTTCCTCGAGGTTTGGCATTTGGTTCGGAACGCAATCAACAAACACCTGGAATTGGATGGGGTCAATGAAGCTCTGCAAGTCAAACCAGCAATAGGCATCAGATCGACAAGGAGAAGACGTGATCACTCGGCCAACTCACGTGAACCGATCGAAGACTGACATTTACAACAGGAAACGATCAGTAGTCATTCGCATCTGGCAGTGGTTCGCGAGACCCTGTGAATCAGGACTTGATAGCCGCACTGAGGATGTTTCCTAGCTTGGTAACGAAACGTCTGCAACAGAAATGCCGAGCTCAGAGAACAGCACAACCCTCTAATCTCGTGAGTATTCCTACTTCAGTGGGTTGTTGAAGCAGTTGACAGTGAGGTTTGAAATACGGATGAACCTGAAACAAAAACCGCAACACACTCCAGACAATCGATTACTGCCCACCTTTCATGCACTAGCAGTCCCTGCTGGGTCGGTTACGCAAGGTAAGGAAGAGGAAGCAGTTAACTCCGAAGACAAGAGGATGAGCATAACTAACTGGTTATACTACCAAGGCTCGAGACAACTTAAAAGAACAATAAATTTGAAAGTCAAAGATAGGAGTTAGTTGGGTAAGAGGAAAGGTTTGATTTTACTTCCAAGAATATCGACACGACTCTCAACATCCTAAACCGCAGATTCCCTAATCAGGTGCTCTGGAGTTGACTTCCGGGGCTTGATAGCGGCGCGATAAACGGTTATCCTTCACAATCTGGTTGGAATGCGGTTTGTTCAGCTCCAACGGGTGACCGCGGGGACTAAATAACCAAGAGAAGTTCAGCCAAACCCTTCTCTTAAATAACACATTTTCACTACGGTACTTCTTTTGTAACGATTTCTCATTTATGGGCCATCTTTTGTTTTATTTGACTCTTGCTCCACATATGCTCCAAAATGGATATTGGCATGAATTGTCAAGCTGACCTTTACTATATATCTGCGTAGCTTTTCCCCAAGTTCACGGTTCCAACCTTGAGCTTCTAAAAGTCGTCTCTTTAACCTCTCCAGCTCTCTTCCAAGTGCGTTCTCCATCTGGAATCTCTGAAATAGAGAAAATGCAGACATCTAACTGACGGATTTGGTTCTGTTAAGTCAGAACTGGTTGCTTTTTCACTTAAGTTAGGAGTGGCCTTGGAACCACTTTCAAATGGGCATCACTCACGTTCACGCATAAAACTGCTTCAGTGATTTTACAACTCGCAATCTCGATCAGCGCTTTGTATTGTAATGGTCTATATATGAAGATTCGCAACGCCCATGCTTTTCTTTATGGCGTTATCCCTACCCAATCGGAATCTCTAGATATGTGACGGTTCCTAAACCGTGATCAGTCAGGAATTGAGGACAGCGGTGATTCTTTCTAGTTGTATTATGGCTTAGCTGTTGTAGTTCTACAACAAAGGTCACGCCTTAATCAATAATGTGTGAAGCATCTCATTCAGACTTTCGTGGGACTCACTGAACATTCGGTTTCCATAGTGCCTTCGCCATTTGCTCGCGCGTCTTCTAGTGCTCGCTTGGTGGTGGAGAGCAAATCACTTAGATGCTGTATCGTCGCTTCCAGACGAGTGACTTTCTCCCCCATCTTATCCCGAACAGAAGCTTCTCGTTCAGTCGCTTCCAGCTCGCGCATTGTTGCACTTGATTCCACTTGCTTGCATCGTGAGGCCATAAGCTCCAGTTCCTGTTGAAGGGCTACCATTCAGAGATATGCAAAGAAATACTTGATCAATCGACTCCATCCAACTAACTGAGATTTTACTAAAGTTTTAACATATTTCGACTGCTCACGGTAAGTGACTCCTCTGTATTATAAGCAAAAATTCAAAAAGCGGATCACGCGCCATACCCCAAACCGAGCTCTGTAGTCTTAACATGCACTCTTGAGGGAAAATGCACTCACATCCTTCTTATGGATGGTTTCAACGTACGTGGTTTAGAAACCACCGCCACGACCGGAGGACAATTCAAAACCGATCTGTAAGAGCTCGGTACAAGTGTTCTGCTAGACAATCACGTCTTTTCGTTCATCCGTTTCAGAGCAGGTAACAAGCAACCTGTGCTGCGTCTTATGCTTACTAACGAAAAACCTATGGTTTATGTGCTGGTTATAGACTGTTCTTTGGGTCGCAGTGTTCATGCAGTCATCAGTTTCAACTTCATCAGTTATGCGGCATGTCGACGTGAAACCATGGGACGCCGCGCATTATCACAAGCTACGATCGCTTACCAGCTCGTCAGTGCCACTGTGTGGTCATTCATCACCGAAGACTCGCTGGAAGTCGCCTGTCTCGAATTCCGCAGCAAATTCAGTCGTTTGGTTAAGAATGCTTTAGAGACAAGGGTTTGTCATGGGCCTAAAGTCGTTGCATTCGTAAGGAGTGGAAATCGAAACTAGATGGCTGTACGCGATGCAGCATGGCGTGCCTACAGATTATCTCCAACGCCCTGTACTTGGAATAACTATGTAGCACAAATTAACCACTGTTCATAGAAGATAAACCGCATATCAGCAGAACATCGCAAAAACCTCGGTGCTAACCACTATTTGTTGTACCAGCACGTTGATGTCCTTCATAAGATGGGGCAGGCAATTTCTCCACTGCAGAAAGCTGATGGTCCAACAAGTCGGCTACAAAAGCAGCAACCGCGTTGCGGACGCAATATGCCCACACATTTCAGAAGATCTTGCACTCAAGTGATCTTCCAGATTTTTTTCCCTGCTGCCGGGACTAAGCTACATTTCTTTTACCGTTGGTACTGTATTGCAGAAGCTGACGTCTCTCCGCAACCACGGCTCCCCGGGTGTCGATACCATTCGTCCAGAAGCACTGGAAGCAGCAGCAGGAAAACTGGCAGAACTTTTGTCTCATTTTTTCCAGCGATGCATATACGAGAACTCGGTTTCTGCCATGTGGAAGCTTGGAATAATACCTCCGATTCACAAGGAGGGAAGCAGGATTGAGTCTTCAACACTCCGCCCGTTCTCCAAAACAATCTCCGCGTGGTCACACTGACGCGATGCTTCTATCTATTCCAATATACTACTCACAATTTTTGACGCACATTGTTGTGCTTACACCCATCCAACTCGGATTGACCAGTGTTATCCATTGGATCTATCACTACAAGATTGTCTTGCACACACCATCGTTGCATCCGGCAATGCGTTTTCAGCGGGAATTTCACTGAGATACACGCGTATCAACCTTATTTTTCAAATGCACACCATTTATTTTACCCCCACTCGACAAAGTTCTCTTAGCACCATCTAGCAATTCCTGTGCCACAACAATCCGATACTCCGTTTGATAGCCGGCCATCATCATAACAGTCGCCAAACTAGCGTGAATTCTACCACGCCCAGCAAAGCTCAAATCTCCACAGAGCCGAAGGCTGGACTGATCGATAGCTAAGCTTACACTGTCTACCATAGAAAGGCTGTGCGTTCACCTCCATTGTCTTCGTCTTCAACTGCTCCCACCAGTAGGACATAGTTATCTGACGTCGTGTGCCTGTACCGAGACGCTAAGTGTGCGGAACTCTGGTAAAGAAAAGGCGGTAGCAATTTACCCACGTGACTGACGCCTCAGGATGGTTCGCAACGTAGCAATAGAGAAGACACCATGTACATGGTCCGCGAAGCCCCTGACAAAAGTTCATTGCGGCTCGAAATCATGGAGGAAGTGATAGAGCGCTACACTTACCAGACTCCATTTGGTTATGTTCATAGGGTGTGTTCAGCCTACAAGTAAGGCGCATCGCCTTGCTGGCACAGAAATGTGACAAACTGACGGCGATTGTGCAGCGCTCGTCGAATGGGATAGCGGGTGCATCGGAACCAGCTGCAACAGAACTCTACTCTCTTTGCCTAAACTTAAGGTCAATCTTGGGAGAGAGTAGCTAAAACAAGCGTATATTTAACAGTGGTGAACGAGCAACCCTAACCACAAGAACTAACAAACAGGCGGGCAACCAGCGTCTGCGAATCTCGGCGATCCCACTCTTGCAGAGCGTGGCTTTACCCAGGGCAGAACTATCTCTGTTACATGACACTCCATTGCATTCGGGTTTATCAAACACTACCAAAAGCCTAACAACATATGCATCCGTTGTCGCTGCATGCATGCGCAAAGCAAAGTTAGCGGTCACTTCTGTAAGTACCCCAAGAGCGACAGGAGGTACACGAATACTAATGCGCCTTCGGAAAAGCCACCTACTACGCCACCAGAAAAAGCAAACACGCTTCTCAAAGTTGAACTCGGAGAATCCGCTGGTGCTTGGGTTGCTATAAGCAACCTCTGTTGAGACCTCCGTTCACTTGAGGTGGACATCGGTTTTTCCGATCACAAGGACTGAATGTGAAATGGAAATATTCGGGTGTTACTCTTCCAGATACTGGCACCCCACGACCGCAGTTTCGTCCTGGTTCGGTCTCATGAGGTGGTGATAGGCTGAGCTGGGTTGGAAATCAGAGCCCAGTGATTCACGGTATCAGTAGAGGTTGTTTGTACCAACCTAACCACACAGCGGGTTCTCCAAGTCCAACTTTGAATCCGTTTCCGAGGTACCAAGCGTTGCTCGCGGATCTCAGTGGCATAGTGTTTATGGCGTCAGCCGTTAACCACTAGACTCTGATTCTTACCCCAGCTCAGCCTATCTCCACCTCATGAGTCCAAACCAGGACGAAACCGCGGTCGTGGGGTTCCAGTGTTGGGATGAGCAACACCCAAATATTCCCATTTCAGATTCGGTCCTTGTGATCGGGATAACCGATGTCCATCTCAAGTGAACCGAGGTCTCGATAGAGGTTGCTTGTAGCAACCCAACCACACAGCGCATTCACCAAGTTCAAATTCACATCCAAGATATTTCCCGGGAGTAGGATGGAGAGTGGCGTCAAGTGACAAAATCTAAGTGGCGGAGTGCGTCCTCCAACCGCCTTTTAAATATGGTTAACTTGGGTGAAGAAACAACCAATTCGGGGAGAGCGGTCCATCGTTGACACACACGAATGGAACAGGAATTTCTACGGCACTTCAGGCGGCTTTACTGTTCTGCTAATTTCGAGGTGTGGACTCTAAGTTTACTGTTACTGCTGAGTTGCAGTAAAGAAAGGTACACGTGATTTGCATTGTGTAAAATCAAGTACTCCATAATCAAATCACCTCGTGGTCGGCGATATCGGCCGCTGAATGCACCCAAACGTTTCATCTTCTGCTCTTATGAAACCTGGCGCATTCCAGTGACCTACTTAGAAGCCCGACGTTGAGGTTGTTCCCGTGCAGTAAGACCGTGCTTCAGCCATGGCTGCGTATTCGACATGGGGGCAAACATACACATTCAGCATCTGTCTGAAGATAGAGATTTATATTTGTCCGAAGGTACGTCGTAGCAAGCAGAGACATGCTGGTTACCAGTATTCGATGCCTTTGCGGATTTTTTAGAACAACCCAACTTATCCTGAACATGGTAACGTTCGACGGATGTTCGCTGCATTACTTGTGTTCCTACCATGAATTAATAGGTACTCTGGTGTCGTATGGATAGTACTTTGCATTTACCCACGTTGAACTGTAGCAGATTTTGTGTTGACCACCCATGTACCATATCTAGGTCACCTTGAAGTGAATTCTGGTCCGCATCCGGCTGAATCCGGCGCCAACTCTTGATGTGTTCAGCAAACAGCAAGAAATTTGAAGCGCTTTTTCATGCAACGTCATTGATGAATACCAAAAACCATCATGGCCCTAGAACTGAGACCTGGGGCACACCAGACTCGACCGGTATGGCTTCCGATAAGGAACTCTGGCTTCTGACCACTAATTGTCGTTGCAGGAGAAAGTTAATCATCCAGCTGAAGATAGGGTCACCGATCGCGTAATACTGGAGCATGGAAAGGTGAATCCCATGATCTAAATGAGCGAATGCCTTCGACAAATTCAAGTAGAGAACATCAGCAGTTCCTTTAGCGTCAGTTGACTTGGTCCAACTACACCGTACGATTAATAGGTTCGTTGTGCACGATCGCTGTCGACGAAAGCCGTGTTGCTCGGGAGCAATAATGTTATCACTTTATAGCTAACACACCAACAAATCGGCAAGGATGGAGGTAATGGTGGCGGAAAGCAGAGACGGAGGGACTAGACTGCCTCAGTGCGGTCGATCAGGCGATCGATCGAGTGGACGAGTGAGTATTTAAATATACAGCTACTTGTTACTTGTAAGTGATAGGGGGAGTTATTAGGTTTTTGTGTAGGTTCGTTAGACACAGGCAGCCAGCCACCACACATCCAGAAAAGCGCTAGACGGCCGTTTCGTCCCATTGGGACTCGTCAGTAGCGCGCACCCGCCGAATCCTGCCGGATTCGAACCCACGATCTTACTCTTGCGAGTCGGTGACTTATGTCACTGAGCCATGGGCGACAGCAGCGTACCGCCATGACTGATATCTAATTGCGATATAGCGCGGCTCATCCTCCACTGTCTTGCATGTTATGGGTGTGCAGAGGACAGGGGTTGCCCCAAGAGCAACGACTTCCTTTGCCAGCCGCCATCAATCGAGGTGGCATGTAAGCTGCTAAGGCGACTACTGATTACTTGCAAGTAATAGGGGATTTATTAGTTTTTTGCGTAGGTTCGTCGCAGTTAGTCGCAGGCAGACAGCCACCACACATACAGCAAAGCGCCTGACGGCCGTTTCGTCCTATTACATACAAGTAATCAGTAGTCGCCTTAGCAGCTTACATGCCACCTCGATTGGTGGCGGCTTGCAAAGGAACTCGTTGCTCTGGGAGCCAGCCTTGTCTTCTGCACGCCCATAACATGCAAGACAGTGGAGCATGAGCCGCGCTATATCGCAGTTAGATATCAGTCATGGCGGTACGCTGCTGTCGCTCATGGCTCAGTGAAATAAGTCGCTGGCTCTCAAAGTGAGGTCGTGGGTTTGAATCAGACAGGATTCGGCGGGTGCGCGCTACTGACGAGTCCCAATGGGACGAAACGGCCGTCTAGCGCTTTTCTGGATGTGTGGTGGCTGTCTGCCTGTGTCTAACTGCGACGAACATACAGCTACTTATACTTTGCCTCAGCTTTGGGAATAGAGCGTTTGTGTTCAGATCCGACGCGAGTTCTTTCTCTTGACGCGGCTAGGTGAACTAAGCACACATAGCATGGTGGCAGAGGTGCTGACGTACGAAACCCCGCTGGTATGTGATGTGCAAACGTTGATTCCATTGCTTCATCCTTTACAAATTACTGAAAGCATATTACCGGATAGATGGAGGGCGTGGAAAGCGAAATGGATGGATTTCGCTACGGTGATCGCGTTGGATGAATATCCGAGATCATATCAAGTAGCGATATTCAGGTACTGCATCGGCGAAGATGCGAGACGGATATTAGAAGCATGGAACTTCTGCGATGATGACGCAGAACCGGATCTTTCAGAAATAATCGGGTGGTTTGGTGATTTTGTGATGGCCGATCAAACCTTTTTAATCGCTGCTGCCGATCGGTTAACGTTAGCTCACTTACTATTGGAAGTCGGGAAGAAAAGCAAGAGATTTCAATGAATAATAATTGGGATCGCGAAGTGCATGATAGGATTATTGTGACGCCGTCAATTAAGTACGATCAGTACCGTTGCGACTTGATTTATTAGCCACCGTGAGTACACTGTTTGAGACACACTGCACCGGAGTGCAGTTCAGGGCAACAATGCGTTGTCACAAAGCGTGTAACAACTTGATGATACTTCCGAAGAGGACGGTTGTGGCTAAGGTTTTCAAGAAGGTAAAGAATCGAATTATCAAAGTCCGAAAGACGCATGAGGATGATCATATAATGCTACTTAATATAAGTCCCCTAGAGCATTCAGCAACAAACAAACGCAGTTTCTATTCAAGCACAAAGCAAACCGAAAGCTCGCCTGCAATGGAAGAGGCTATGGAAACTGCAACACACGAACCACGAAAAAATGAAGGATGTAATGGTGACTGAAAGCTGAGTTGGAGGGACTTGATTGCCTCAATGCGGTTGCTCAGGCGATCGATCGAGTGGACGAGTGAGTTTTTAAATATACAACCACTTGTACTTCACCTCAGAATTGGGAATAGAGCGTTTGAGTGCAGAGCCGGTGCGAGTTCTTTCTGTTGACACTGCTGAGTAAACCGGGCACACATGACAATGGATTCCATGATCTTGGACAATGCAAGGGGAAGAGACACTGAACGGTAGTTTGAGGGCTCAGTCCTGCTTCCGCCTTTGTAAATCGGAGTTATTATTCCAAGCTATCATTTTTTGAAACGCAACCAAAACATATTTCTGAGGGGTCATCCTTTAATTTGGCCACGCGGTACAGCCAACTGGAATGTTGACGAATCGTTTCCCCCCTCCAAGTGTCCCAGCATTGCAACGCCTTGCCGGCGCATGTAATTGAAGCCCCCACCTTTTTCCTATTCGATAAAGCCTTGACAATAACCTGACACATTTGCACTACGTGATATACCCTATGACCATCAGATGATGGCATTACTGCAGAACAGTGTCATAATCCTTCTAAACTCTAGGCAGGAATGATTATAATCAAACTAATGCTAATCTCTTAGGACTACTCTGTCCTTTACAAGGCAGTAACGTGTACAGTTAGCGGCGCTATCTCACCTTCTGCAACTCAGTCATGACAGTTGTTGGCGCCCCCGTAACACAGTGGTTTCAATCACAGACAAGCAGCAGTCGAACTGCGGTTTCTAGCCCTACACGAGTCAGATGGAATGAGCACCACTGCCGATTCCCGAAAGGATGAAGCGGCTGGTAAGTGCTTTTCCGGCGTATAATGGCCGTCTGACTGAGTCTAGATGTGATGAATTTCTACCTATACCACTCAACTCTCCTTACTAACTCCTTGTAAATGATATTTTCCTCGGTGCTGTTAGACACAGTCTAACTAGATGGTCTGATCAATGCTCTTTTGTCGACACTGTTTTTGCCTATATTTTCACCCTAATCATCCTACTGGAGTTGGCAAGCATTTGCATTTTTACCCGTCATAAACCGTTACTCCATTGCTCCCTATGCCTTCCAATGTCATGGATTTCATTAGTTCCGATATGCAGATGCATTATCTGGAAAACTGTAAAATCGACAGCGATCGTGCACGACGAATTTACTAATAGCATGGAGTAGTTGAAATGTCAGCTGACACTAGAAAGGATGTTGGCGTGGTCTGCTAAGATTTTTCCTAAGCATTCGATCGTCTGGGTCGTCGGATACTACTTTCTAAGCTCCAATATTACGGAATCGATGACCCTGTCTTAAGCTAGACCGCCGACTTTCTCGTTCAACGACAGTTTGTGGTCAGAGTCCGGTGCTTCTTGTTGGACCTCATACAAGTCGAGTGGCATGTGCCTCAAAGTTCAGTACTAGATTCACGATTGTTTGTGGTGTTTATTGATGAACTCGCACATGCAATCGTTTCAAATTTCCAACTGTTTGCCGACGATCTCAAAATTTGGCACAGGATTCAGGGGAATTCCAACCAGTATATGCTTCAGAGTGACCTAGACACGATACATCAGTGGTCAATCCACAATTTACTGCGACTCAACTAGATTGAATGCAAGTTACTTTCCATACGACACCAGAGCAACTACTCACACAAGCTCGGAACGCAAGTCCTGCAGCGCTTATTCGTCGAACGTGATCTGAGTGTGCTGATTCAGGACGACCTGGATTGTTCTAGGCAATCCGATAAAGCAATTGTTGGTGCGGTGACCGCAGCATAGCAAACGAGAAGTCCTTCTTTCTATACTTGAAATGCGGGCTGTTTTTTATTAACATTTTTCGATAACCTCAACAGACGTGTGAAGCAGTGCTTCTTAACCCGTGCAAAGTCATTGGTCACTAACCACTTCAGGTGTAATACAAATACTTAGGCGTTTAGAACAACGGTCCTCATGCTCAAGTTTAAATCTGTCAAGTCAGAAGCACCCATTTCAATGAATATTTATTCGGAATTCATTACTGAAGGCTACCCAGATACCACACTCTGATTTATAATGCGATTGTTCACACTCACTGGTGAGGTGCGCTCTAACTCCAGTAGCAACAATTTGTAGTATGGAATTTTGGTAATAGCGAATTCTCCGCTAAACTCAAGCATTATACACTTGATGTGCCGATTAATCAGCAACACCGTAGGACTTATGATGTGTTTGCTAGGTTTATTTTCACAAGACTGGACGTCGTCCACTAATCGAACCCATTTTCACAACAGGCTGCTCCGATAGGTGAGTATAAACGAGTCTCTACTTGGATGCACTTATCCAAAAGAAAAGAGATCGAATCTCACTTTACTCTTGAAAAAGCAAAAAGATTATGTTCATTCGATTCGGTACAATTCACAGGGTTACTCGAAGCAAGGCCTAATTTGGATGCCTGATATGCTACGCCTGTGACTGAGCTTTTGAGGATAGGTTAGTTTGAATGGGCTAACTCATCAGTTAATTTCATTATGCACAGAGTGAACGCGATGCAGATTTTTGAGATTTATGCCAGTTTGGTGAATTTGCCATTCCGTTGCTGACTCACCTGTTGCTTAGTTCACCAAGCACGGAACAAGTGTCGGCTTATGATCAAAGCGAATCGTAACAAAGTATGTTGCTTCTTACTGTTTCGCCTCTGGTGTATTTTGTGCTTACTTTTTCTTGGCATTCAGCTCCCACCGCTGCCACTAACAGCTGTTGTTACTTCGGGTCGTTAGTTTTGGTTAAACGAAGTGCGTGAGCATTACCCCGGCGCCTGGTTGACACGCGACCACCCCCTGTTGCGCGTGTGCTGAGTACACGTCGATGTCTCCCACTCCTAGACAGGTTCTATCCAGCTGAGCCTACGCCAATAGTCATACTTATATTGTGACAGAAGTGATTAAATAACTCAGCCATAAGGAGCGCTTAGGAGTTGGAACATGTCAAACGGTTACATGCAAGTATATATATCTTTATGCCTAGTACAAATCCGGGGTCACACTGAAACCATCCACTTCGGTACCGTTCCCAGTACTCCCGCGCTTTGCTGTTCATTTTTCTTCATCTACCTTTTTCTGTACAGATTGCGCTATACTTCTTCAAACTCCCCAAACGAAAGCAGTAGTAAGACATGCATCTCACGATAGGTAAATTGATCCCATCACCTTGACATTTGCTTGCAAACTCATCGCGTTGCTTCTCTATTTCCGACCGTTGCTGTCGCGCCTCAAGCCTCAGATTGGCCAGCTCCACCTGTGCTTTTTGCGTAAGTTCACTCAGTCGGCTTTCTGCTTCAGTAGACGAACGCAACGCCTCCGTTGCCCTTTGGGTCTCAGCATGCAGATCAGATTGAAGAATGTCGAACTGCGTTCTCAATACCCGGAGCTAAAATGAAAAAAAACAGTTTTCTGCTTTGTTACATTAGTCATGTTTTTGTTGCAAGTTAATCTATAGAAACGCTGAACAATATTTTTTTTATTTCTGAGGACTCGATGCAAGCCAATTTCATGACGAATGCACCTAAATACGATTTGGCAATGCAGATTGTAGCTTAGCTCTGCCTAGTGGCCCGACTAAAAGATTAGTGGGTCTGTGAGTTTCAGTAGAGATAACTGCTTTTCTCATGACAAATGTGGTGCATGCATAAATCCAAATGCACAACAAGCTCAGGATTTTTGTAAATTCATGGCTGCACCACGTGAACGATACAACCTAACAATATGGGGAGGAATGCGAAGCTGGAGCTAGAATCAACCTATAGATTGGCACAAGCGCCAGATTCTTACAAGAGCCAGTGTGCGGTCGACTATTCTAACACAGTTGCACTTTACACTGCTGTGCCTTCAGTAATTTTTGCCATCTCACCTGCATAAATTCTTTCGATCAGGCTAGACGAGCTCCTTTTAACGTTGTACACATCTCGAATCCACGTCTCACGGATTACCATGTCCCTTCCATCTCCAAATTTTTGCGTTCTCTCAAGCGAAATGAACGCGCAAAACTTCGTTGGCCTATCATCGTACACCACAAATTCTGACTTATTCCGGAGGTCCAGTTTAAGGGCGCTCTAGAAACTCCAAAACTGTTCGTATCCGTAGCTGTATAAAGCAGCTACAGGCGAATTCAGTTCATTTATTACTGCATCCTTCGTCGGCCAACAAGCACCTACCTTAAACATTGAACCACCAACGTCGCAATGCACCCTACCTTTACCAGCGCGCGACCGACAGCTCGCATGGCTTTGCAGCCTTAATATGCACCTGCTGCGGAGTAACGCACGGATCTGATTTTATGAGTGACCGAAGCGTTGAACATTTGAGAACAAGAATCGGCTGAGGCAAAGTGTCTTGACATCCGCCTGTCCCTCACACGAATGTGTGATTGTCGTCTGGACTCTGGTCTGCCAATCGGCGGACAACAACTCTTATGGCATAGCAACAAGCACTGCGGAACCTGAACCAGTCGGATTATATTGCGTTCTATAACAGATTATCCAGTGGAACTAGCGGTCCCACTTAGCAACCATAGAATGTTTAAACCCAAAAATCAAAACTATTTTACCCTCCTCAATTCTCTGTGAACTCACTGCAAATGACCGATAGCTCAGTATAAAAAGTGCCCTTTCGATTATAAAAAAGAACAAACAAGAAGCCATAGCTAAACACACTGGTAGTGCTTCTAGTATCCTGCCTGACATGCTAAAACGCATTATCCTATACGCGGAAGCAATTGTTTCACGAAACAGCAAATGCAGTGCGTTTTGTACAGGTTACGATCAAAATTTCATTCAGTGAATTAATCAAAGAATCAGAGAACGTGAACTTGGATAGACTTTGTACAGCTGGTTCATTCTTATCTCTTATCATCTATGAGACCCAGGAGCGCGTGTGTAGATCGAAAAACGTGATTAAATTTAATTTACCCGATAGACTCAGTATCGAAAAAATTAAGACCCTTCTGACAGCTTGCAACATGGATGTACTTAAGTACGTTTATCTGGGACTTCGGAAAAAGGTTAACATGAAGTCATGTCCGATCCTCCTGAAATTCCCGGATGAAACAACTTCTACGGCTTTCTGATATCCAAACGGCCCCTTACTGAGAAAACTGAATTCAAAAACACTGTTCAGGTATGACCAAACACTGCTAGAGAGGCGCCTTGCTCTTAAGGAAAGGCCTACAGCTATCCTAAATACCGATCCACAAAGCCATCAAATCGACAGCGACGTTGACCTCGACAGAACATCAACATTAATATCTCTGGAAGATTCACAGCGCATTACAACTCATATCCTCGCATATAGTCTAGTAAACAGTAGTGCACCAAATAAATGGCCGAACAACATTAGACAACCCCGAAACCTAACACATACCGACAAAACAACAGAAAACAATACAATATAGTGTGTTCCATCCAAATGTAAGTGCGCTGCGCCATTGTTTCCTCCCGGTCCTAGATGCTCCTTTACGTTCCTTAAGTAATTTCTAACCGCTATCCTATTCATCACTGATATGACGGACCTAATGTCGATAACCTTATATGGTCCAGTCACTAGGTGCGTCTCCATTTTTTCCAAATAATCTGACTTGTTCATTATCACGGTGGCTTTGGTTTTATCGGCTATTATGATAACCATGTTCGGATCTTCTTTTATGGCAGTTAATGCGACACGTTCCTCTGGTGCAAGATTCGGCTCTCCCGGCTTCTGAAACTTTATAATGTTTACAAGCTCTGCACGAATATGTGAATATGAATATGAATATGAATATATGAAGCGGTAGCTCCGTTAAAGCAGTCTCCACACTAGGAATAACTATTTTGGCTCTTACCTTAGGTTTATTGACAGTAAATGTCAAACCCGATGCATGAACTAGCTAGATATTTGACTAGCGTATTGCAACCCTTGACAAGACAAACGAATACGTTCGCCAAGAACTCTTATGACTTTGCGAGAAAGGTGTCGGATCTTGCGGTTGAGTCGGAGGAAATGATGATCAGTTTCGACGTTAGCTCGCTCTTTATCAACGTGCCAATATGCGACGTGTTGGAGATAGCGAAACACCGTCTAACTGAGGACAATGATCTGGGAGAGTGGACGAAGCTTACGGTAGCTCAAATAACGGAAGGGATGAAATTATGCCTTAACATGTCTTATTTCACGTTCCAATCTAAATTATACACTCAGGAACTAGGACTCGCCATGAAATCACCAAAATCCCCTGTATTGGCAAATTTATACATGGAAGATTTTAAAACAGTTAGAAGATAGCACGTTCGCGGGATCATTTATGAAAACCAGGAACAGGCGGGGTACAAGTACCGAGCCTTGAGGTACGCCGCACTGAACTTCGATGGATTCCGAAAGGTTGCTTCGAACCCTCACATTCAGGTGACGTTGCACGAGAAAGTCTCCTATCCATCCCAGAAGGGGATCGCCGATTCCATATGTCTGGAGTTTGTGGAGGAGAATGCGATGGTCTATGCGGTCGAACGCCTTCGAGAAATCCAACTAAGCCGCGTCGACTCCTACACCAGCGTCCACAGATTCCGTCCAGCTTGCACGAGATATCAACAGATTACTGGTAAATTAGCGATTTTGGCAAAATCCGTGCTGCTCCGGAAGGAGAATTTTGTTGTTCCCCAGGTACCCCATCAAAGCCTCAGCTACAATGGACTCCATAACCTTGGAGATCACGGGAAGTAGTGTTATCGGGCGATAATTTGTTGGTTCAGCACGACTACCACTTTTGTAGATTGGTGTGATGATTCCGTGCTTCCACATTGAGGGGACGTGCATCTCGTTCAGACATCGTTAAAAGAAAATTGCTAGTGGTCCTGTCAAACTCATGGCAGCAACTTCTAACGCCTTCGGGCGAATGCCGTCCGCACCCGGGGAGCTGAACTCGCTCAGAAACATCAGCCTCTTCAGTATAGCTGCGGAGGTGAACGATATGCGATTAAGTCCTGATGGCGGCAGCATCTGCTTAGGCAGGATGTATGATGGTTGCACGCTTTGGAAGGTACGGCCAAATTATTATCCAAGAAGGTTGGCCGCCTCTTGTGCAGTTTGGGATAACCTGCGTGCAGAGCAGGACTACCGCACTTAACACGGCACAGACTGTTTACGTGTCTGTGTAGCAGTTTGGGGTTGGAGCGAAACTTTTCCACTAGACCTTGTTGGTTCTTCAGTTTACCCTCTCGAACGAGTTTGACACAGTGGTTCCTTTGTAATGTGTAGACATCCCAGGTATCGTCGTTCGGGGAGGCTATGTAGGTGTGCCATGCCAAGTCCCTTAATACCATGTATTTACGTGTCCTGCTCCTTACGAAAGACTTCATCCTTTTAGGCCGGTAGAGTTTGGTTTCAGATGTGCTTGCCACGAGCTTGTTAAATATGTTGACAAATTATACACAGGTCATCTCAGGGGTCAATTCAGCTAAGAACGACCAGCTTGTTGCATCAGTGAGGTCGGACAGGTCATCGTATTTGGTTACGACATGATATTCTTCGGCATTCTCTTTAGGATAATCCGCGTAGCACATGTAATGAAACACTAGCGTTGCATGATCGCTGCGGCCCAAAGGAGTATCGGTTATCACTCTCTTGACCATCAGTTCTTCACTGGTGAATATTCGGTCCAATATGAATGGCCTGTTAGTTCCCCTGAACCTGGTGGGCGTAGTGACGTGGCCATAAAGCGGGAAGTCTGAAACCAGATATTGCAGATGTGCTTTGAATTACTCTCCTGGTGTGGCCTGGGATTCTAGAGCATGTAAGTTGAAGTCACCGGTGACTAGAATGTGACTGTACTTCCTGTTTATCACTTGCCTCAACGCAGCCATCAAGTTGCAGTCCATCTCAAGAGTAGACGATGGCGGGCGGTAAACAGCAACCAATAGGCCAAGATGGTTCCCTCTCAGCGGGAACTTGTACCAAATGTAGTCAGGTACTTCGGTTTCCGAATCGTTTATGTGTTCGCGTTGCAGGTTGTTACGAAAGTAGAGAGCTACCCAACCACCTTTACTGGCTCGATCCTTCCGGACAACGGACATGCCTGTTAGCGCGATTTCAGCATCCGTTATCTCACAGCGCAACCACGTTTCGGTTACAGCGATGAGGTCCCAAGCTGTTGACGCGTGTCGAAGTCCTTATTCAGCTAATTTGCTGAGTGAACCTTGGGCATTTGTGTACATGCATGAGAACTTCTCGGATATCAAAAGTGTGTTAGATTGGATAGATGAAGCAAGTGAGTTTACGCCGACCACTAAAGCGTCGGCGACTAATCGTTTTTTTGGATGGGTTGCAGACTCTCGAGAGGAATTTGGTATATAGGCAAGTATCAGGTGCCCCGGTTCACGGTGTTTGCTCGCGCTCTGCTGTGTCCCTCTGCATATTATAGGATGATTATGTGGTTTCTTGGCACCAAGATCGTCTAAACTTAATGCTCGACAGGAAGATGACGTGATCGGTGCAAATCTAAACTAGGCGGTCGATACAACTCCAGCCAGAGCGGAACCCAACTTACTCTTGGCCGGTGGCCCAGTTGTCTGCCCACCTGGCTTGCCATCACAAGGTCACCGGTTCTAATCCGCGTGGGGGTGGGCGTTCCCGCGATATTCTCGGCCCACGCACGACTGATGGTGGTGGCGCGGCAGCGAATAGCATTGACGTGTTGACCACCGAGTTCACGCTCCTCAACCTCAAGTCCACCGACCTGCGTGTTTAAGTCCCCTAAAAGCATCACTTTGCAACGCCCTTACCGCTTATGTTGCTTATTTCCCCACGGTGACGGTACTCGAAAAACGTCTTGATGATACACTCATGCAATAACTTTACGCCCTATAACCTTCTATGTCCAGGTGTCAACCTAACACTACCAATCAACGTGCTCATGTTCACATCATGCTCTTCACTGATTAAAGCTGATACTGTGGCGACGGGATTTACGTACCAAGGTAACGATACACTAGTGGGTGCTACCATTTAATCTTTTATACTGAATATTTGAACTAAAACTGCTCCACACATTTCTTTGTGTGCGCACATTCAATTCCCATTTCAAACTATCATTATGCAGCAGTGCATTTAACTTGGTAGACAACTATACTGACGATCCATTTATTCTTTGGCTTTTTAACTTTTCACTCCAAACAGCCTACAGGAGTTGCTAAGCAGCTGCATTTTTTCTCGTGATAAATCACTGTTTACTGTGGTCCGCACGACATATTTAACGCTTTTCTTGCACCATTAAATGGCTGTCGTCACCCAGCCGGATTGTATTTTTACTATGACTCTGATGATGAAGCCTCTCTGTGATTTTGATGATCATGAACGAACGCGGCAGTGGATCTGTTTCACAAATGCTGCATTAAATTCGTAAGGTGGCCAGCTGTTTGCTGTGTTGCTGACGAACTGTAGATGCCTCGATGCTGAATGTTTGTTCAGGGCATTTCAGCAATGCTTAAGATTAAATTTTCACTACTTTTTGGAACTTGACCCAGTAGATATGAAGTATTGCAGCACCGATGCTAACTTCTTATATCCTGCTATCATCAAGAGTGAGGAAAATGGGACTACACTGCCAAGGTTGATATAGTCTGTAGAAAATCGAGCCGGGTCAATGTCATTGCACTCCAAGACATTGAAGATGACATAGCGGACAAGGGTATTCATAGGATCCTGCAACTAGTACAAGGGAACAATGCTTCACATATCTCCGACTGTCCCTTTTGTATACTATGAGTAACATGTGTCCAGAGCAGAATCAATGCCATAAAATATCCTCTAAGTTATCCAACATAGATTTGGGCGGATGACGCTTAGCACGTGGTAGAATGTGTACATATGAGTAATGAAGTTCAATGAGGAAATTATCTTATACCGGCTGTTAATGATAGACTGTGGTGAAATCTTTTGCTACTTTAATCGTTACTGTGAAATCCACAAATTTGTATTTAAAAACTTACCTGGTTTTTAAGACTGTCCCTCTCAGATTCCAATTCATGTTTTGCAACCAACAGATCCGAAGTATTTTTACAAGCATTATCAGCGTCTCTTTCCGCCTTCTCCCTAAACGGAGAATGAGATTTCTGTTCATAATATGCAGATTATTTTTATTTAAATTTATAATTATAATAATTTATTTTTATAATAATTTATTATTATAAATTATTATTATTATAATTTATTTATAAATTTATTTTGAAGTAAGGGGATTTATATATTTTAGAGGTAAATATACTTTTGTCCTTTTAGTTCCATACGAAGTTCATCGACTTCTTTTGATAGCAGGGAACACCTTGCGTCCATTTCCATTTTTTCCTTCTGTGAAAATGTAGATCGTTCTATCTCCTCCGAGGATAGACAACCCAAACGTCGGACCAGATCATCCTTTATAGCGCGCAAATTTGACACCTAAACAGATTCAGATGGGAGCACAGAGACTAGTACTATTGTTATTTTAAGGATGGAAATTATGGATGAGATTAAGTTCCCAATAACACTAACGGCTTTGATTTATTGGACAATGGTTTGCTAAAGTCCACTAAGCAACTGGGTGTTTAAATGCAAAAGAGTAAAACATTTCGGCTATGGTCTGCAACTGATGCAGTTTGGTCAGAAAAAAGGAATCAGTTCACGCGAAACCTAGTCCGTTGTGTAAACTCCTAGCGATAAAACACACCAAAACTGTAGCTGAAATGGGTACAACAGGAAGTACCGCGCTGCAATTTGTGCTTTACTGGTTGAACAAAGTTTAGATAACCGCTGGCTGTGTCAAGCTCACGTCCGATCTGCGTACTCGGCACTTTACTTTTCTGTTATCATCTTCCGATTGTGATATGCGACGCATTCGCCTTTTTTTTGTCTTCCAAGACTGAAAGCCACTCGACCTGAGCAGGATATCATGATAGTCACTATGCCTATGGCGCGAGTTACCGGTGCTTCAACACCTGGATATTTAAGCTGGAATCTTCAGCATTCATAAAAATCGGCATCTCTTTATCGATCCAGACTTGGTGAGCTAGGGACAGTGAAGGATACAGGACCAAATGAAACTCTCCCAAATATTTTCGAGTCGTCAATCAGTCAGATCTAAGCTCGCAAAAAAGTTGCAAAAGGGTACTGTGGTTCAGCACATGCGTAAGGCCCTAAAATGATGACTGACAAAATTCTTTGATTTGACCTAGTGATTAGCAAGGGCTCGTGGTATGGACAAAGCCAGTGTTATTAGGTGCAGTCGTGTGTTATTCTAGCTCATCCGGATTACGGGTCCAAGAAACCTATCAGTCGGTGAGGCAATAGCTAAAACTTGGACATTTATGGAACAATGGTATAATACTGATAACAAAGCCAAGGCTTGACAAGTCCAGTGGGATGGTTTGAGGGAATAAACTTAGTTCCAAAACTTTCGAACAAAACTGAAACATACGCATCTGTGAATTCATCATATTATCCACGTTAACAAAATGATATATCCGTCTACCCGATTTCGTAGGTTTTTTGAGCACAATGTTTGTCTGCATGTTGTCATCACTCAATGCATATGAATCAGTTCAAGTTAGGTAGGTGGTTTATAGCATCGTCGAGTCGTTTTTTTTTAATGGGCGCGGAAATGACAAAAGTCAAAAGACCCTTCCACGGTTGACAAACTCAAAGCAAAAAAATTTCCGCGGCATTCCAGCCGACCGTATTGGGTGGCAAGTTTCAATTTATGACCACTAAATTCCCCGTGGCGGCTAAGTTTCTGGTGGCGGCAAGCGTGACCGTGGTTTTTCAAAATCTGGAACACCAGGATGAGGTCACCCCGTAGACGGCGATATCTTCCGCTGTACACTCTCAGGGTTATAAGCCGTCTATGCTATTGCAGCTGGGACAAACTCTACACACTTTTCATTGCTATTCGCTGGGCGGTCTCTAGTGCAGCCAGATCGCGTTTTAACCAAGGTTTCCAAGCCTAGATCGCGTACTCTACATGGGACCTCACAGACGCATTGAGGCTTTAGGGGAAGATGGAGGGAGCGAACCGCCTGAACGCCGTAACAGACCAACATGTTGGTTTGCGGTTTTGGACGCCCTCAAGGATTGCGCCGAACAGCCGACGTCGTCTTGCATCATCACCCCAAGGTCTTGCTCTTGTTAAGCGGTTTTCAGAATGTCCTCTTCAAGCTGATATGCGTACGTGCGCTTGTGGCGGACCTGCACGGTTTTGCACCTGTCCGTGTTAAACGGAAGTAGATTTAACTTTAACAATTCAAAAGCGCAGTCTAAGTCTCGTTTCAACATATCGTGATCTTCCTGACAGCCGATTGCCCGCCGTCATCAGCAAAAGCAGGAAATTCGATCTGATGACACTCGTAAGGTCGTTAATGAAGAACAAGAATAACCGCGGCCCCCACAATGACCCTTGTGGAACAACGCAGTTCACATTAATTGGATCAAAAAAAATAAGCCTCGAACTCGAAACTGAAGGCGTTGCTGAGGGAGGAAGTTTCCGACTTATCCAAGAACAGGGTTCCCAACTCCGTATGCTTGCAGCTTTTGGTGAAAGATGAGGTGATCTGTGACTGAAGGCTTTAGAAATGTCTAAGTAGATGACACCAATGCCAGTCCCACTGTCGACTATCTCGGTTCAACTGCCACGGGCAAGCAGGAGGTTGGTAGTACATGACCGATGCTGACGGAATCCGTGTTGATCCGCTGCTATGAAGTAGCCCATTACAGTCTAAGTTATGATCGATCCCATCACCTTTGAGAACAGCGGATGGAGAAGCACTGGGCGATAATTGGCGGGCTCTTAACGACCACCTCTCTTTAAAATCGGGGTATTGATGCCTTGCTTCCACATGTTAGGGACCTGCTGTTCGTCCAGGCTTCCTTGGGAAAAGCTTGTTAATGGTTCAGCCATCCTCTTATCTGCCACCTGTCGTGCTTTCGCATGAATGTTGGCAACTATGGGTGAGCAATGATAGCAGCTTCCTCAACATGGTCACTGAACTAAAAGTGACGAGTGTAAATACTGGCGTTTGGGAGATTGGGACAGGCATGTTACACATGCTAGTAGCACGTCGGCAAATTGGGCCATATTGTAGACGTAGAACGTTAGCGGCATCCTCGGTGGTTTGAGCAAATCCATCTGCTGATATTAGTGGGGGGACAACATGTGTCCCATTCTGGAGGCTGTTCACATGTCTGTACAGATGCTGTAGGTGAACAAAAATTTTTGCGCGAGACTGCTAGTGTACTAATTTTCCCTCACGCACAAGTGGTACAATGATTACGATGCACAGCATAGTTGCTTCAGTTGTCAGGGCTAGGGTTCTCTCTATGCACATGCCATACAACGTCTCCTACTCTCACGTGTTTCCGGGTTCTACTCCGAATGCATGCTTGTGCCTTTGCAGTACGAAGGGGCTTGGTGACCGATGCAGATTCAAACAGATCACTGATCTTGCCAGTAAAATCCAACAAAGCATTGTGAATGGAACAGTCGTCCGGAAACTCTCAGCTGGCATCTCCCACAAGTGCTGCCAGTATGTCGTGCTGGGTGATTGCTCGAAACAAGTTGTTATCTTCTTGTGGATACTCCGTATAACACACAAAGTTGTAAATTATGGTTACGTGGTCGCTCCACCCCAGAGGGCTCTGCAGCCTTGGTTTCTCAACCATAAGCTCTTCGTTCGTAAGCACTAAAGCAAGCGCAGAGGGTTTATTTACGGCTCTGAATCGGGTTAGCGCATTTACATGGCTGAATAGCGGAATGCTTGCCATATACTCTTGCAGGTCTGCCTTGAATTGCTCGTTGGGCATGCCGGAACTTCCAAATCGGGAATATTGAAGTCGCTGGAGACAAGAACACGACCGTATGGTCCACGTAGGACCCTTCCCGAGGATCATGTCAGGCGGGAGTCCATCTCTGGGGTGGACATTGGGGGACGATAACCAACGGTTAAAAGGCAAGTGTCGTTGCGTCTTAGTACCCGACTGCCCCAGAGTGAGTCTATAATCAGTGTTTCCGGATCGACAACCGGTTCACACTGCACGTCGTTGTGGTAGTATAACATTATCTTCCCCCGCCCTTGCTAGGGCAATCGTTCTGGAGAAGGGGTATATCCATTTATCGCGACTTCGGTATCGGTATTTTCTGATTGTAACCCAGGTTTTCCATGACGAACATGAGGTCCCAGGTATGTGGACGCTTGACCGTAGCCGGCAGTTCGGTAAGCTTGTTCAGGAGACTTGTGCATTAGGTGTACGTGCAGGAATGTTTCTCTGTTATTCGCAATGAATCGTGGGATGGGTGTTTAGGATAAAGGTTGTGCCGACCGGTAAAAGTCCGGCAACTAATTTTTTGGGTGTGGCGACTGACGAACTCATCTGTGTCCCGATTCATGGATCACACACCTATCTCATTGCTTCTCTCTCTGAACGCAATGTATGCGGTGTGTCTGCCAGTTTCGCTGGTTAGCTGATTGAAGTTCTCCGTACTCTTGTCGGAAAGTGGTCCGACTAAGTGGCTGCTCTTGTGTGTTTGCTTAGCAGATGTTGCTTTGATCCGGAGCTCGGAAGGAAGGCTACTGCGGCCCGCATACCAGCACTCTTTCTGACATTTGTCTAGATTGAAGGAACACTTTCACAATCCTCGGGCCAGATCTTTTGTAGTTTGGCCATTGGCGCAGCCTCGAGATAGATTGCGCAATGAAGTTTACCATGGGCAAGGTCTCGCGAATGTACCACCATTGCTCCTGGTCGTGAGTGGTCGCTTCGCGCTCATCATGACTTCCAGCCCTCTGGAACACCTTGTACAAGCATGGTCCTGGATACGGATTACTTCCGGTTTTCTTCCAAGTAGTGCTTCGCTTGTCTGCGCTCGTTCCACGGAATATCCGGGAACAGGCGGATGGAACATGACTCATTCCGGATGCAAGCTGTCAGTAACAGGACAGCTTCTGCTTCACTGGCAGAAGTCAGCACAACTCTGAGAAATCTTGGTTCACCGTAGTGCTATGAGTTTGGTGGCGGATAACGCATATCAAATTTACAGGCTATAGCTACAACACCTATAATGTCACATATGTATCTCCACTGATTCACTTCATCGCGTTGTTTTTCTTGTAAGGAATTTGACGTTGATTCTGGAATGTTGGCGCATGTTACCGCTGGTATACTACCTGTAACTCTGGTTGAGGTCAAGCGACCAGCTGCTCTGTATACAGTCGAGGGAGGCTGTTTGGATACAGCTAGGTCTTCTGCTTTTAATCTGGGTCCAGTAGAAGTAGCCGAAGGTCTAGGTTTTTGGTCACTTTTGGCAGCAATCAAGTTCCAATCACCACTGGTGTCGAAGTCCTTCCGCATTTTCAGAACCGTTTGGATGGTTGACGAGGCACTGACCGTGCTCATTGCAATCGGACTGGCGG